TTGTTTCCTAGACCGGGTCCCTCTTAGGTTTCTACGACAATCAAAATGCGCGTAGAGTAGCTAGCCTATTTACCTATCACCGCATGTTGCTTTCTGTCCTCTCCTTTAATTTGCATGACTTGGACTGATGACTAGTAGAACTGAAGATGCGTACAAATTGTGTTATTCTTTCTCTCGTCGTCCGCTTCTCTTTTCCTTTCTGGAAGCAAATAAGCTGCTTCAAAAGTTAATAGATACATGGTCGGTGCTCAGACCAAACGGAACCGGCCAATTACCTAATGCTGATGGTTGTCTCTAACTTTCTAGTCAGGAGTCGGCTTTGTGCGAATCTATCCGACTCTACTTTGGGTCTCGTAATCTAGTAGGAGTATATATATTGCATTGAGTATTGTGTGTTCTGCCTTTCCGTTCCTGCAAACTGACTGGCAGAACGTACTAGTATATAATATCTGTAACCAATTCAAAGTAAGCTTCTGGAAGATCTCCATTCAGATAGATGACAGAGATATAATTTGATTCACACAACGTCACAAACTTTCTCTCATTTCAGTTCAGTTTGGTCAAAAGAATCCTATATATCAATATATGGTACCTACGTACGCACCAGACAGTATGCATCATACAATTATAAAATTCGTTCATGCATGCTGATGTTGCAAATGTGATAAATATCTTGTCGTTGTCTGTTAGTGCTAAAAAAAGTAGACAGAAAGGCTCTTCCCCTTCTTATTATTGACCTGATCGATGATCCATCTTGACCAGGTAGTATATATATTTGGTAATTCAAAAGCTAGAAGCTGTTTGCATGGGCAATGGCGGAGCTACAAGAAATAAGCAGGGTGGGCAAAAGAAAATTGATCATAAACCATACGATCAAGTAGGCATTAGTTAGTAAAATTTCACATTGTTACAGCGGTACAGCCCAAGACTGGAAGCTAGTATCGAGTTGGTGTGAAGTAAAATTTATAGAAAGAACGGAAATTTCTTGTGCACTGGCAGACTGGTTCTGCGGTCATGTTGCCTGGGTCGCTTGTTGGTGCCACCTCCTCGCAGCGCGGCTCCTCTCCTCTCAACTCTCTCTTGAGTTTCTCTCTCTCTCTCTCTCTCTCTCTC